ATAAATAAATTAATGAAGAAGCGCCAGGAAAAAACAACAGAAAAAAAAGCCCTAGATGGAGACGACGGTGGGGAAGCGTGCAACCGGCGACGCAAATTTCAGCGATCCGGAAGTGGTTTATCCAGAGTAAGTTAAGCCGAAACTGTTCCTAATTTTACTCTAAATCTGATTCCTTTTTGTATCTGATCTCCCTTGCCATTTTGATTCTTCAAGGATTGATTGATTGATTGATTGATTGATTGATTGATTGATTGATTGATTGTGTGTGTTTTGGGGTTTTAAGCAGCTGCTATTCTTTTTGGTTCATCATCTCGGTTGTCTAACTCTTACCTTTTTATTTCTTAATCTCAGAGACAAGAAATTGAAGAAAGTTGACGACCCTTTTAGTACAGAACCATCAGTAACTCAGTCTGAGTCTGAGTTAAAGGCCGAGTCTGATTCTGAGTTAAAGGCCGAGTCTGATTCTGAGTTAAAGCCTGAGTCCGAATTCCAGAAGTTTTACAGACAAAAGAGAGAAAGCTATGTGAGCCTTTTTCTATTCATTTAAGGTTTGCTGCATATATTTTCATTCTGGCTGACTGGGAATTTTTTTTTTTTTTTATTCCAGGGCTTTGATGTTGATGTCAATCCTTTTAAAGATGATGATTATTTCTGTTATTTTGCTGCTTTCAATGACCCCTATGCAGTGCCTTTTCGGGGTAAGGAATGTACAGAACTTGCAATGGAGGCCGTGGAGTATCACAACCTTAACAAAAAGGCAGAGGTGGTTTAATTCTAGATCATAGAACGTTTTGTTTTTTTATTATTCAAACATATTATTTACTCACTTTGTTTTTTTTCCACCTTTTACAGAATGCAAATCTAGAATTTGTTAAGCTTGTAAAGTTTTGCCATGAATATATGCGACATCCCTATGAAATGTATTACATAACATTCGATGCCAAATATGTCGTTGATGGTTCTGTTCAGACTTGTCAAGCAAAGGTTCTGTGCGACTCTACAGATGAAAACACCTTGTCCAGATTTAGGTTTACACCTAAAGTGATAATGTTTAAAAAGAAGGGGGAGATGGATTTTATTGGCCTAGGTTAGTTTTTCATACCTTAATAATTATTAGAGGATGTCTCTAGCAGCTAATAACCAGTCTTTCAATGAATGGATTTTGAATTACTACATGAAATACAAGTTTTTGATCTGTCTAAAATGGAAAATGATGTGTGCACACTCCCCATTGAAAAAAAAAAAAACCCATCACCATCCCGTTCAATTTTTTTTTTATGTAGGGTGCACACCCGGGTGTTGCAATCAAGGTCCGTCTAAAATATATTTGGAACTTAAACACTTTCCTCAATTGATCTCTTATATCGATCTCTTAGAATAATGGTGTTCCTCCTCGCTGATTATGCTTTTCTATGTGTTTGTTTGTTTATCTTGAATTTTGATAGATCCTGAGCTCGATGGAATACCTGACTGTGATTGTGGAGGAAGCAGTCCATGCAACTGTTGATTTTGAGCTTTACATTGATTTTTGTTATAGGCTTGAGAGCTTGGTATGTTAGTTCTTCCGTTTAATATTGCCCATTTGCAAGCTTTCTTTTTATTGTAAATTCTGTTTGATAATAACTATTTTTTTACAAGCATCTCTTTCTTTGTTGGGCATGGCAATTTAGCTTTTGTTTTGCTTGTTCTTGACTGGCCAGTCCATTTTATTTGGGCATTACCTTGACCTTTGATGCTATATTCCTTATTAGATTTTGTTTAATCTTTCACATTACATAAATTCTTCTCCTTTTGCCATTTATTTATTGGTAAATTATTGCATAGCTGTTTTTACTCATGATTAACATGGTTGTTTCCATTGTAGCACTCAATATTGAAGATTGTATGCTAGCCATTAACAAACACTTTAGGTTCAATTGCGCATGAGATGCATCTTAAAGACTGAAGTTCTCAAATGATGACAAGTAAATCCATTATCAAATTGAAGTTTTTATTTAAGATAGATTTTTCTTTCCTTTTGGAAGAGGAGAGTAATTATGTTGAGGCAGACCAAAGTAACATTACCTATAGGCAAACTTAAGGTTTTTCCTCTTAGAAGGCAGAGTAATTCAGTGGAGAGGCAGAACGAGTTGTAGTAACATTTAATTATCACATCCTTGTTTCTTAATACTGCTCATATCCATCCCATGTTCATCCTATTAAGCCAGACCATATCCATCCCTGTATCACTAGTTATTTTTTAAATACTTCATATTCAAGTATTGACTGTGTATTTGATTTTGCATAATTAGTTAAATTATTAGACATGATGACCATTTTTCGTTTGAGGTAGGGAATGGGAAATTAAAATATGATAGTATTATAATTTAAATCTTAATCATGATCAAAATATTGAATGCACATATTAAATGTACCTATTAAGTGCAACATGTCCCATAAAACAATTTTCTATTTTTGGTGGCAATCTCATCTGGTATTTTTGGATATTTTTCATGGATTTACACTAATTTTTTAATAGATTTATCTATTTTATATACTAAACGTACAAATTAAAAATATAATAAATATATATTTTTATAATTAATTTATATTAAAAATTATAAAAATTAATATATATTTTAA